TGAATGATAACCTCTCTAATCTTCCGACAAGAGAAACTTATGGGTGGAGACTTCGACCGTGGAGTCCAGCATGTCTCTCATCCTCACTACATTCATGATAAACCAGACAGCCCATTAGCTAATGGTATAGCAGCTTGAAAACTTACCCATGGGCGGGCAAGAAAAAAAGCAGTTAGGATAAGGTAAATGACGTTTATGGATTGACGGCCGCGTTGCATGATTGCTTGGAGCTCAATACCCGGTCCCAGATAGCTTTCATCCTTTGACTTAATCAATGTAATAGACGTCTGATTCAAAAATCGACTGATGTTGACTAATGCCATTTGCCCTAAAAAAATCGACTACTTAATCGAAGTAACAGACATCCCTTGACTCAATCAATGGAACAGACGACTGATGTCAAAATCCCATGGCTAAATAAGATCTTATGTTTGCTTCAATAATTAGGTGAGTTATTTTCAGGATTCAAAAGAGAAAATTAAGAAGAAACATGTTATACGATGTCAACTTCACAAAGTTGGGGTAGTGCGCCTGTGAAACTCCACAGTTTACTCAGTCGAAGCCTGAGTTCCGTATGGGCAGCAAGTTAAAGTTTGTGCCAATATTTGTAAGATGTCTAAAGCTAGAATTGGATTACGGATGCATGATGTATTCATAAAAGTAGAAAATTAGAATAAGTTATGATTTATTTTCTTACGATACTCTCTCCTTCCTCTTTTCCATGTGTTCACACGTTGGAACATTTCTATCCACATCTTCGAAGGTTGCGTTGAAAATATGTACAGTGCAGCTGCAAATTCATTAATTGATTAAATGTGAACGTGAACGAATGCAACACACTCATGTTATTCAAATACTACTCTCAAGCTGTACGTAACCAATATATAACAAGTCGCCTCTTCGAGGAGGGCCTAGAAACTTGTTAGAACGGCATTTGTCTCTCAGTCAGGGGGACCCCGAAGCGGTGGTGGGTCGATGTGACAATGGAGGACGAGAAGGACGGCGCCTGAGAAAAATGAAATCCTCCTCTCTCTTCGGCAGCTGCCGCTGCGGGTGGGTGGAGCGGCTTGAATCCGGCTGTGGGGGCAGCGCGCAGGCGGTTGGCAGTTTTTTCTGGTTTGGAAGACTAGGAGAAGCCGAGGGAAGAATCTCCTCTGGAGTACGGGCGGTCTGCTCCGTATACGCTGACGGTGACACCAATGGCCCATTCAACTGCGCCCCTCAGAGGTAGAAGAATGGGGATCGGGGCCCTCGTGACTACACGGAGTTGACCAAGCTCTGCGACGGCGAACTGACAATAAAGAAAGTGGACGCCACCGCAAGCCCATGTGCCAACCACGTGAACGATTGTGAGGGCTCTCTCTCATCTGCTGGGTCCGCAGATCCTCCTGTCCACGAGGACAGACGTCCAATCTATGGTATGCGTCAACATAGACGCGCCCTCCGCTTATTCCATTCAAAACCTACTCTGGATTTTAGACTATAATGGAGAAATGCAATCGTAGCGATCGGTTAGTGCATTCCCGTCTCTCTCTCTCTCTCTCTCTCTCTCTCTGGGAGTTTCTCTTTTGAGAAGGGGTTCGGTGCCTGATTTCTTTAAGTCAATGCTGACGCCGCCCAGGGAAACCCCTAGAAAACACTCAAATGCGGCCGCGTTCCGATGGCATCATCTACGTCTCCCGCATAATTCCCCGCAGCCAGAATCAAAAGCATTTGGCGATGGGAAGTTTGATCACTCCCCTCGTTGGGCATCGTGAGCCGTTTCCCATGCCGAGTCTCTAGATTTGGCAGCCCCACTGCGAGCAGTTTCCCATGCGGTTCGCAAACCCACAATGTGAGGGCCGAGATCGTTGTGGGCCAGGAGGCTTTCACTCCGAGTAATTCTTGAATCCCCGCTATTTCTTTAGCCTCTTCTCATCTTGTCGCAACACACGGTGTGACGGCTACGCATGCATAAACATTTGGTGGGTCAAGCCACTAACCAGCGCGAGAGAGAGACGGCAGTTCCTCGTGGCAAATAAGATAAACACTGCAGTCCCATGTTGCTAAATTCATTTCGAGAGGATTGCGTCACCTTCTGGGGGAGATCAGCGCCTGGATTTGACTGTCCAGCTGACCTACCGCTTTTCTGCAACATCCAATGAAGATTCAACGACTTTCTCAAGCCCCGGGAGACTGATTTTTTTTGTCAAGGCTAATCGCCGGCCTCCACGTCACTCCCCCGTGCCGGGACGCGCTTTAAGCGTTCCTAATTGGTCATCGGTCGGTGACGGCGGTGTGATCGTTCTGATATTCCACTACCCTGGCCACGTCATGGGTTAGGTTGCATTCGAAGCCTTCTTTTTGCTTCGTATTTGGCTTGAGATGGAGAGACTTCCTTTTTTTCCTCCCTTTTTCAGCTTCTGCTCTTTCTTTCCTCAGCACGAACTCTAAAGGACCTTTAGAAGGCGCGTGGAAAGTCAAGGTAATCCAGTTGTATCGAGACGCATGTTGCCGCCCCCTCCTGTCTCCGACAGCTTCCCGGTCAAAACAGCGAATCTCTTTCCCTTACGTGTAATCACCAGCGTGGGCACCGTCCTCTTCGCCTTCCGCACCTTTACGGATTCTGGAGTGCCACGTGGGTTCGCCAGATTCGATTCCAAGGCGATCGCCGATCAAGAGTAACGAGCCTCCAATTGTTCTTATTTTAACGGACGAACGTGACTGATTGTAAATTCGCCTGACGGCCGCCCCGCAAAATGGCGGCAAGTCGGCCGTGTGCTACTATCCCTCCCGTCGTTATTCTATGCTCCCATTCTGAAACAAAATACATCATCGAGGAAGATAAGCATGCAGGAGATTAGCTCTCCCTCCAATGATTGGGAGCTGGAACCTACCGGTGGTTGTTGTTTGAACGCCTGAAAGAGATGTAACATGAAGAGCAGAACGACCGGTGGATAGGGACAAAGGGAGCTCATAGGAAAGCACAGGAAAAACAATTCACCAGTTAAGAGAACCGAAATATTGTAGAATAATGGAGAAGTCTCTCTCCAAAACCCCTCCACAAACCCCACCCTCTCCCACGTCCTCTCTCCCTCTCATCATTCATTTGGAATCAAAGCTACAGAGGAGGCCCATGTTGGAGTCTTATTTTATCGAGAGGCAGATGCTTGTTCCTGCCCTGGTCCGCCCACGCAACTTGGATGAGAGTTTGATATGGTAATCCATTCGACAGTTAGTCTCCGAAGAGGGCACCTGCCCACCGCTTGCCTCAAAGAGGGGAGAAGTAGGTAAAGCACTGTCTATACAGACTTCTACTAGAACGAATCACTAGTTTGATCGCATCCAACAACGATTTGTCCGCGCTGGGATCCTCAAGAATCCAAAGAGAGTGTTTTTCGTTGATGACTCTAAGAAGAAGATTGCCATTGTAGATCTGCGCATCCAACGAACGCATCAAGACAATTGGATGTTCTCTCTAGAAGACATCAGGAAAAAAGTGCCGAATAAATCGCCAAAGTAGGTGTGTGATCGATATCTTTCATGATCCTTATCGGAAATGTGCTTATGGATGTACCTGACTGGCCCTCTGTATTGGTTGACAAACAAATATATCTATGCGAATATATAGAGAGAGGGAGGGTTGGCAATGTGTCTATAGTTTGTGAATGAATTTAAGATTGCGAGACGTATTCTGCACGATGAGGATTCTCCCCTCCTAGTTTTCTTTAAGTCCATGAATTTTTATTTGGCAAATTATGGGAGAGATGATGTGACGTAACTACCGATCCGTCCACTTATCAGTTGGTTACCGAACGGACAGGTTTTCAAGTGTAAGAAAATGCAGAAGATCTGCGTCAGAGAATCCCTATGTTCAAGCTGACGTGGAAGACTCCTCGAAAATCAAGTTCCCACTATCCTCGCTATGCCATTCCTCATCCAAGTCCAAAGATGCCATCTAGCCAAAGCATTAAGAAGATTGAAAACTTAACTTGGATTTATCACGAGACATATCTCTCTCTCTCCCCCTCCCTCTTTGTGCGCTCAGAGAAGCCTTAATCTGTACATTTTACCCCGTGCGTTGAATTGAATGGCTCTGACATCAAGTTGAAATCAGAAACAAATGGTCCTTGGTCTTCCTCACTGTCGCGATGCTACTGGCAGTACAATACTGAACGCAGCGACAATTAATATTGCGCAACCCGTGCGGAAACTTCCTTGGTCGCCGGCACCTCCATTGCCGGCTTTCCCTTCGTCGACGTTATTTCGACTTAACTGGCGCCTGCTACACTCAAGGACTTGTAACTACATCGAAGAAAGCAATGATTGAACTTGACTTGGGCGTTCCTCCACCATTATTTCTTCGACGTTGACCAAGGAGCTACTGTCAGACGATTTTCACCTCGGACTTCGTGTCACGAACTTTGCGTGACCCTATAGTCAGCACTACATTTTCCAGAGATATTAGTTCATCTGGGTTGCAGTCAATGCTTGAGGGGTCACAGTTGAGAAGCCAAATGTGAGGTTATAGAGGAGATGGAAGGGGCGAAGCACGGCATGCTAGCCTCTCGGGAGTACATGCTAAGCCCTGCCGTCCAATATGGAGGGCTCGTTGCCCCCGATATTTGTGGGACTCGGAGCTAAAAGCATCTAGAGGATGAGACGGTGATGAGTACAAGATTTGGAACCCGGTGGGCTGCCCTTAAGCAAGCTTTCACATCTCCAGCGTCACCGAGATACTAACTCCATATGCGAGGGGGATCGTTGTCGTCAACAGAACATGGTGGGGTAGAGAAACGGCATCGTCGATTACCGCCCATGATTGTCATTACTAGTCTCCGTATCCATCCAATTAGAACCCCAGCATGTGGAAGGGTATGGCGTTTTTTTTGTGGGTTCACTTCTTCCGGGCGGGGGGGATGGGTTGTGCGTGGCCGCCAAGAAAACTGAGGGAGCCAGGGTCAACGCTCTGTCGACCGAGGACAGAGGGAACGACGAACGGGATACGATTCCTGGTCCACTTATAAGGAGTAAATGGCACTCGGGATGGACCAGCGTTTCGGGTGCAGAGGCCGGGAAACCGATCCCAGTAAATGTCCACCGGCCACATGTCTCGTCGTAAATTGCATTTCAGAAGGGTTTCTCCGGGTAACTTCGCTCGATGCCGGCGCAGAACAGTAAATGGGCTAAATGGGTCAACGCGGAAATTGTCCCAAGACCATCGACAATGAAATCGTCCCGCTCTTGGTAACCAGCGGTGTGCACGTGGCAAGCTCTTTTACGCGGGGCGAATCCTGTTGGCCGTGGACCGAGCGACTAAAGAAGCGCCGGGGCGGGGAGGGATGGTTGGATAGGTAGGTGGGCTACGCAGTTGGGCGGCACTCTCGGTCTCGGGTGGGTCCTCGCCACCGCCCACGTCGCCGGGCTCCTCTGTTCTCTGCTTAAGCTTCTACTCTCCTCCAAGGGGCTGCCACGTGGACCTCCCGGACGCGTCGAGGTATCCAGCATACGAAAGCCCTCTGTTAACCGCCCCACGCCTCCCTCGAGCCCAGCCTCACCGTCCTCTCTCCCGCCCTCCCCTATAAATAAACCCCCCCCCCCCATTCCCCCAGAGCCACATCACTCTCAGGCAACACACGGCCAGCCCTCTCCGAAAGGCACCCCTCCCCTAGACTTTTCCTCTCCCCAAGCTCAAGCAGAGCACCGGCCTCCCGACTTCTTCCCTCCCGCTGCCCTGATCTTCTTCGCCGACGCTCTCTGCACTCTGGGCCTGCGAGCAGTACGGCGAACCCATGGCTGCTGCCGGCTGTGCCAGTTTGGCAGCCAATTCTTCACTCAGAACCGCTTCGCGCCTGGGCGCTGCTCTCGGGCAGCCCGGCCGCGGCGAAATGATCAAGCTGAGTGGGAAGCAATCCCAGGCCACCAATTCTATCTGCTGCAACGCCACCGCAATCTCCACATCCTCCTCGATTGCCCTCCTTGACCCTCTAAGCCAATCCCCTTTCTCCTACTGCCCAAATGCCTCCTCTGTTCAGCCGGTACCGCTGACGACGACATTGACGACCGCCCGGGAAGAGCCAGACCAGAGAGCTCTATCCCGCTCTCCCTCATGGGGGAGACCTAATTGGAACCTCCTCCAGCGGTGGGCCGCCACCGCCTTGGACTCTGTGGAGGACGCCTTTATCTGCAACGTGCTGGAACGCTCCCATCCCCTACCCAAGACGGCCGACCCCGCCGTCCAGATATCCGGAAATTTCGCGCCCGTTGGGGAGACGTCCGTCCGCCACGAACTTCCAGTTGCCGGCCGCATCCCTTCCTGCCTCAACGGCGTCTACCTCCGGAACGGCGCCAACCCCCTGTTCGAGCCCGTCGCAGGCCACCATTTCTTCGACGGCGACGGCATGGTCCATGCCGTCACGCTCCGCAACGGCGAGGTCAGCTACGCCTGCCGCTTCACCGAGACGGAGCGGCTCGTCCAGGAGCGGGCCGTCGGGCGGCCCGTCTTCCCCAAGGCCATTGGCGAGCTCCACGGCCACTCGGGCATTGCTCGTCTCCTGCTCTTCTACGCCCGCGGCCTCTTCGGCCTGGTGGACCACAGCCGCGGAACCGGCGTCGCCAACGCGGGCCTCGTCTACTTCAACGGCCGGCTCCTGGCCATGTCCGAGGACGACATCCCCTACCACGTGAGAATCAGTCCCTCCGGTGATCTCGAGACAGTGGGGCGGTACGACTTCGAGGGTCAGCTCAACTCGACCATGATCGCCCATCCGAAGCTGGATCCCTCCTCCGGCGAGCTATTCGCTCTCAGCTACGACGTCGTCCGCCGGCCCTACCTCAAGTACTTCTGGTTCTCCGTCGACGGCAAGAAGTCGCCGGATGTCGAGATCCCGCTCGACCAGCCCACCATGATGCACGACTTCGCCATCACAGAGAACTTCGTCGTGATTCCGGACCAGCAAGTGGTGTTCAAGCTGCAGGAGATGATTCGTGGTGGGTCCCCCGTGATGTACAACAAGGAGAAGACTTCTCGTTTCGGCATTCTTCCCAAATATGCCGCCGACTCGTCGGAGTTGAGGTGGGTCGAGGTCCCCGACTGCTTCTGCTTTCACCTGTGGAACGCATGGGAGGAGGCGTCCACCGGCGAGATCGTGGTCATCGGCTCCTGCATGACGCCGCCGGACTCCGTGTTCAATGAGTGCGACGAGAGCCTAAAGAGCATCCTCTCGGAGATAAGGCTCGACCCGAGGACCGGCAAGTCGACAAGGCGTCCCATCGCCGATCAGGTGCAGGTCAATCTAGAGGCCGGCATGGTCAACCGTAACCTCCTCGGGAGGAAGACGCGATACGCGTACCTGGCTATCGCGGAGCCCTGGCCCAAGGTCTCCGGGTTCGCCAAAGTCGACCTCACCACCGGAGAGGTCACCAAGTTCATCTACGGCGAAGACCGCTACGGCGGCGAGCCCTACTTCGTGCCACGCAGCACCGTCTCCGACGGCTCCCTCTCGGAGGACGACGGGCACGTGGTGACCTTCGTCCACAACGAGAGAACCTCAGAAACGGAGCTGCTGATAGTGAACGCCGCCGACATGCGTGAGGAGGCGTCCGTGGAGTTGCCGTCGAGGGTTCCCTACGGCTTCCACGGGACATTCGTCAGGTCCTCCGACCTGGAATCCCAGGCCTGACCATCTCCTGCTCCTCCCTCGAGGGATTTACCAGAGGGACATACGCTCGAGACGGGTCCCCGGGAATCCCCCAGCTCTGTTCCGCTGTAAAGAAAAGGATAACTCATATCACCTTTCCTCCCTCCGGTGCCCTGTGCTCACCCGGCTCGAAGCTCAGCGCCCGAGCTCAGCTGGTTTCCCCCATTCTTTCGCCCCTTATCTCCGGTTGTTTCCCCCGGGGCCTCTCTGTACAGTGACGGTGAATTTACCTCCGAATGAAGATAATTACGATCGGCCTTACCCAAAAAGGGGTCTCTGGGGTTGAAAATTGGAGAAATCCGTCCTCGTATCACCATTGGATCCCGTTGGGCGGTTTGGCGACGCCTGGCGGCCCGACCTGGAAGCCTTCGTTAGGACGATGATCCCACCACAAGTCTTCACCGTCGAACGTTGGAATATTTAATGCAAAAGTACCGTATCTGTGGTGAATTCCTTAGTTTATAGCAAAAGAACCCTCCTCTCGTCATAAAGTAAGCAGAGGATCAGCTCCGGATTCCACGCCCGCCCTCTGCGCATTCTATAATCTCACCTGAGCTCGTCTCGGCGCAGGAGAGCAATGCTCGCCTACGGAGGACCCGAATAGGGAAGACTTGTCCTTCGGTGACATTTCCGACATGGGTTTGGATTGGGTTGGTCGGAAGGCCGACTATCAGTATCTACTGACAGAAATATCCTCCCCCATTTGTGGAGAAGGATACCTACACGTATTCTTCCTCTCGGGAAAAAGCGGTGCTGGAAGCGGCAAGGCTTTGAGCTGCGGCTTCGCGATCGTCCTCTCCTTGTACATGTTTCTCTCCTGCTAGTGCCTCTCCTTACCCATTTCAGAGCCGGGCATAGCTCTCTCTCTCTCTCTCTCTCTCTTTCTCTCTCTCTCTCTCTATCTCTCTATCTCTGTCTGTCTGTCTGTCTCTCTCTCTATATATATATATCTATATATATGTATATCTATACATATATGGGCGTTTCCACGCGTTCGGAAACAAGCCTATCCGCCGCCCAAGGTTAATTAGGGACACAGGCAAGATGTGCCACGATTTCCCCACAACGGCACGTCCCGATGGGACTGGCCCTTGGTGGGCATGCCTCCCGCGGCGACACTCACCAAGATATTAGCCTGCCCTTCTTCGTCACACCATCCGTCATTAGGATGCGAAGAAGTCAGGGCCCACACTTCCAGCAGAGCCGTGTATAGGCGGCCACTACAGCCGCGACACGTTGCTCGTCGCCCCACCAACAAGTGCTCATGTTGTCAAAGAAAACTCCCTTTGAACTGAATAGTCTCTTTTTCGTTCGCCCCTGCTGATATCACAAAATTGGAGGCCAACCGGTCGACTTCTCCAGATTAACATAAAACAGACTATGAATGTTTTCAATTGCTATGCACATCATTGACTCTGATTGGGACTTTGTTTCTTTTCTAGCCATGTTACTCATTAGTTTATCAATAACTTCACGTATGGTTCAACTTCGGCTTTGATTTCCCTCAGAACTGAACGATTTCATTTATCCGCACAGCTGATCATACTATAGGGCCAAAGCAAGCGGATCCACTAAGCCCTCTATTTATATGGTAAGAACAACTCCCCTCACTCTCTAACTACGTTGTAATATGCAGGTTGCCTATGCATCCCTCAGCTGGATTGATATTATGGTCCGACAAAGTGGATTGGACCAAAGTTACAACACCTGAACTACAAGAAAAAAAAAAAAACTTTCATCCCCCGGTATAATTTACAAAAAAAGGCATTTATTGTCCCCGGCAACGACTCCCTCCAAAGAATAGAAGCTCTATATATTACACAAAATTGATGAAATGTCACGAAGATGATTTTTCCGCACAAACATCATAAAAATCGCATGAACTTGGTGACGTCGTTTTCCCCACATTATAATACGAAATTTAGTTGAATTTCAATGCCTTTTAAAAATTTCTCTAGCATGATAAGATTAAGACGTCTTCCTCTGATTCCTTCTGTACAAAAAATCTTCATCGAACTATGCAATCATTCTCAGAAACTTACTCATACCGACCGGTTCTCCACCGGAACTCAAACGGATGTAATCTTTTTTGACCTTTGATCTCCCTACTTGCTGCCAAAATCTTAGTTGAACTGAAGAAGCACTTGATCTCTAACATTGGCGTGCCGGTTGTATGAAAGCTTCCCAATCTCAATGATGGCATCTGTAAATCTCAAGGCCCTTTTGAACACGTGACTACCACAGTTCTTAAGTTGGAAAGTAATTCCATCAAAGACGAGGCCAGGATTTACATGAATGAACTGGTGAAGGTATTCCAAAATTAGAGGCAAATAAATTTTCTCATGTGTGGTTTAAGCTTTCACTGTTTTATTCGTATTGCTGCTTCCTAGAACATCCGTGGAGGATTTTTCTGAGGTCACTGGCCACGAATTATGCTAGCAGATGATCAAGACTACAATTATAGTGCGGCATTTTTCTGAACTCAAAATCATAAATCAGAGTTTTAGTTAGCAGACTGAAACAGTGCTTTCGTGCGAACGAGACTTTATGATAAGTGAATGAGTTTCGACATTTTTAGAATAAAAATTTCCTTCGATAAATCAACATTGATACGTGTCATCTCGGGGTAATGTAGCTTCTGTCCCTGTATTACGACTTCTGGACGACATTCACAGACGTTTACATTTATTAGCAGGCACCATTCGTTGATGCAGATAATGGTTATCAATGATATGAGATGCCATGAAATTGACGGTGATGGTGACTTAGTAATCTCTGAAGACTCCATTGACGTTTGTTGTCACATGAATTTAAACCTAAGCCTTCACACATTCGCTATATTTTTTTGAGGTTTGATAAGTGTAAACTCCGCGGGAAAGAAATTTCCAGAAAATCTTGCAAATATTACTTCCTTAACTCGTCGTCCAGGTGTCGGAACTCTGCAGTCTGAGACGAAATCTATTAAGTCATGAATCAGAGACTCCCGGCAGTCGAGGAACGATATCCTCCCGCATCCAGTTTCCGGCGCCCTCTCGAGCCCAGAGGAGCTATTCCCTTCGGCCTTTCGATCGATGACCAGGCCTGCAGAAACCTCCATTCTGGGCTGTTAGGCTTCCCTGAGAGTGGACTCTCTCTCTCTCTCTCTCTCTCTCTCTCTCTCTCTCTCTCTCTCTCTCTCTCTCTCTCTCTCTCTCTCTCTCTCTCCTCTCTCTCTCTCTCTCCCCTCCCTGTCTCTCTCTCTCTCTCTCTCTCTCTCTCTCTCTCTCTCTCTCTCCCTCTCTCTCTCTCTCTCTCTCCCTCCCCTGTCTCTCTCTCTCTCTCTCTCTCTCTCTCTCTCTCACTCCCCCCTGTCTCTCTCTCTCTCTCTCTCTCTCCCTCCCCCCTGTCTCTCTCACTATTTTCAAGTAATCAAAGGCCACGTGAAGTCAATGCTCCCTCGCCACGGTCAGTACACTTAGTGTCCAGTTTAAAATACGCGCACACGTGTGTTTGCATTGATATTATATTATCCGACTGTAAGTGCGTGGGTCAAGGGAGGTTCTCACAGAAGAAGCCTCTTAGCAGCCTCTTTCACATGATAGGGAAACAAAGCGCGTAAATGAATAATCAACAGCTATTGGAAGAGGAACGATTGGATGACGACGAGCTGCATCGTATTCAATCAACCTCCCGATATGGTGACGACGACGAGAGGCGTAGGTAAAGGATAATGAATTATCGAGTTGTTGTCTCCCACTTCCACGCGGGGCCGGGCTGAAATGGGAAGTAAGCCGGAACCCATGTGAGAGTCATGTGGTCTTCGCCTTCTCAGCACAGACACGCGAGCATGCCGAGACCGAGATCTCGACTGAGGGGCGGTGGCGGTGGCGATGGCTCCCCTGGGGTAATGATACCTGCTGAGTACATGAGGAAGGGAGTGAGATTCAAGAGAAATGTCGCAGGGTACGTGGGCTCAACACCAATGCCCGTGGGGACGTGGCTTCCCACTCGCCGGGCATACTTCCCTCCCAGGTGGGGCGCGCGACCCCCCGGACTCTTCCTCCGTCCTTGTGCAGGGTATTATAAAATACGAGGAGTTGCCACGTCCTTGTGCAGGGTATCATAAAATACGAAGAGTCCCCTGGAATAATACCCTGCAAAAGGACGTGGTAATTCTAGGGGAAGGACGACCGCCCCGGACTCGAAGCTGAGACTCAATATTATAAAATAGGATCCAGTAGCTTTCAGGTTTCTCAGAAGACCAGAGAGGTAAATACGACGCAAGCAGTGACGTCTCGCGCGGCGACTTCTTCCAGGGGCAAGCTTATTCGAGGGTCGCGTCCCGGTAGGACGATAATAGAAATTGCCGTAATGTACAAATCCACACCGCCACCGCCCAAAACGTAGCAAGAAACACCACTTCTCTAATATTAGATGCGGATGGCAGTCGAGAAAACCGGCCTCTGCTCCGGTTATTATTTAAAACTCTGATCTCGGTCACGGCCCAACCTTAGAGGTTTACAAATACGAAGGGAGACGAGAACTGAACGGGAGTCTATGGGGCTTCGGTCAGTCGGGTGGAACAGTCATTCCCACTGTCCCCTTTCATCTGAGGAAATAGCTAAAATCATCTTTGTCCACGGGGTCCTTTTCGCATAATCAACGAGTGGGATATTTGGTGTAAGATAAGGATGCAAGCCCCAACAGTCCCCCTCTATCTCTCTGACGAATACTGTAATTGCCAACAACCCCACCTCGTCGTTGATCTTAGCGAGCGGCGGCACCTGATACGGCACTGCTGATCCCACTCTACCCTCTCTTCGGCAACAGGGAAGAGCCTCAAGTCACCTCGGTTGTCTTTAAGAACATAAATCCCGCGAGGTGGGCCGGGGATAAGATAGCAACGCCGGGAGGCTGGACCAGATGGCTACGCGTACAATGAACTTAGCAGCATGTCCCATGAATGGCGTTGATAGCTGTCTCAGGCCAATCGTCCTCCGAGG